CTTCTTCATATACAACTGCCGCACTATTTCCGCTACGACCCTGGTCTTGCCAGTTCCTGGGGGACCTTGTATGGTCACGAAGGGCCGCTTTTTATTGAGGGCAGCACTTACAGCTCGCTTTTGACTTTCGTTGAGCTCTTCAGGCAAATCGGAAAGCATGCGATCTAAAGAAGATATGCTCAAAGTCTCAAAGATTTTGATCTGAATAATTACCGTTGTGTATGGATGGCATATTCTTTGCACGAAATGCATATCCGAGTAATTGAACGCCTGGAGTGTCGACTACTTTGTTTTCTCTGAATGGACAAAAATTACTTCAAATGTGTTTCAACTGCGGTTTCAAAATCAGAAATCACTGAATACTAGCGAACATGACTAAGATAGTTGTTCACAAAGAGATCCTGATAAAGGACTCACAAGAAAAAGTCCTGCACAGAATGCAAAGCTCCGCTGGACTGGGACAGAGTGATAACATAATCAGTGTCTCCCGTTAGAGATTTTGAACTGCTTGATGGCCGAATTTTGACCTAAGCAAAAGGATTCAGGTTCCAGAAATTTTTTACGAAAAACTTACCGTTATTTCTTTCTTAGTTGATGACAGCATCACGCATTCCGCTATTTCCCTCAAGGAGTTCGCATCACGTATGGTCAGCGGAGCTCCTGAAGTGCTGCACACGTATCGAATTTTAGTTAGATTTAAAATGAATGGCGTTCAATCAAAAACGTACCAGCGCGAAAAATCTTCGACCGATCAAGTGTATTGCCAGGAGTAGTTCTTTTCAAAACCACTGTTCTACCAGTAATAGGATGAAGATCATCCGAGATCAGACGTAGGCTAGCTATCAAAAGCCCTCTGTGCTCGAGTTCACGAAGATTTGTCTGCTCTCGAAGTTCTTTCAGCTACAAGTTTTGAGTTACAGACTGATATTTTATATATAAAGCTGAATGTCTGTTTGTATGTACCCTTTGCGCCCCAGAAAAGTTCCCATGTGAACCAACGTGCGTGTGCAGTGCGACGTGCCTTTCGCTCTTTTTGACACGTTTCT